TCGCCCTTCGTCGGGTTGAAGGTTGGACAGAGTGCTGAAATTTGCTGAGAGAGAGAGAAAGAGAGAGAGAGACGGGCTTGATAAAGACGAGTGTATCCTCATCGAAACGTCGCTTAGTATTAAACTCAGTAATTGTGTATCCATAAAATTGTACCCTGTGTTAATATAGACCGTACAGTATATATAAATATTAATTGGCTCAATTGTAAAAAAAAATCAAATAAAATTCTCCAAATCCTGCACTTGCTTTAAATAAAAATTAGCAAATGCTGTTTAGCTTATATTTGAAATAGTATTTGTAAACCATATCACGTTCGATGTTGTTTGGGGGGTTGGATGGCCGAATGGTTAGCATGTGCGCGCTGTATCATAAGGTCTGTTATCAAGTCAACTGGTGTGGTTTCGATTTCCCGGTTGTACGTACCAAGGAGTTTGTTTGCCTGTCCAACCTCATGGGTTTTCTCCGAGTCCTCCAGGTTCCTCCCACTGCTAAAACCCTACGCGCAAGCGAATTATTGAAATAAAATTGAGCCATATGTTAGTCCCGAAATGAGTTAGCTTGTGTCGCGTGGACGTTAAACACCGTCTCTCTCTCTCTCTCTTTCTCTCTCTCTCTCGATGTATGGGAATCACTTGGCTAAGTGGGTAAGAAGCTGGTTCGCTAGCCTGGAGGTCGGGTTATGGATCCCTGCATTGGCAGAGAAAGTTCATCCAGATTTGCCGGCGTGGTTCCCCCTTGTCAGTGATGCAGGACGGAGCGCCTGACAAGAACAGCTGTCTAGTCCTTCGGATGAGACGAAAAACCGAGGTCCCGTGTATACATTGGAATGCACGTAAAAGATCCCTTGGCAATTGGAATTCGATATAAAAGTAGGCGATAGTGCCGCTGCCCGGGCAAAATTTCCCTCATAGCACACTGTATGGCGTATGCCCGTCTTCATTGGCCCAGCATAGGAGCAGAACAGTAGGACGTTAAACCCCATCTCATTTCTCTCGATTTATTCAATTTTAACACTCCGCCAAACCGTTCAACCTGACGAAGAGCGAGTCGTTTGTATCAACAGAATGGTCCCGATCAGGTGTTCAATCGCCAAATTGGGCACACGGTGGCGACACCAAACGACGTCATAATGACGGTTGCTAGGTAGTGTATAAAAATTCTAACACGTAAAGCGACAATGAAGCAGACATTTTTCGTCTTAATAATAGAAATAAGATGAAACAGAATTAAAATTTACATTGAACAAATAAAGAAGTTGGATTATACATTGTCTTAATTTAGAAATTACATGAATGGAAGTTCGAAATTACATGAATGGAAGTTAGAAATTAGACGAAAGCATGTTAGAATTTTGAATCTAATATACCGCCATAGCTCGCAGACTAACCGCAATAAAACGGGTAAATAGAACGGGCACATTACTTGTCACATACATGTTGCACGTCTGACTTTAGCTACGAGAACGTAGCTAAAAACGTTGAGATATACTGATGTGTTTGTATTTAGCTACGATTGGATGCCTTTAGTTCCAAGTGGCAAACTCAATTTCTTTGTTAATGCATGTAACATCTTTAAAATAAGATAAGTTTATGCTATTATGATTAATTAAACTTACAGAGGCCAATGTAATGGCACAACTGTCGCCTAACTCCAAATGTTCGCGTTTAAATTAATGAAGCGTTGTTTTTGTCTGACATTTACCGCCATCGAAATCCATTCATAGTTACAGAGCTTTAGATTGCCCTTTTGATTGGCTGTTATAAAAGCCTTATATTTAGCCCCGCCTTCATGATGACAGCGTATCGTTTAAAAAGATGGCGGTCTTAGTAACGGCTTAACGCCTCGATTTTAAAAACGATTTGTACCCATTTCAGGTAGGATTACATGCTTAATTGTAGTTGGGTCTGGCAGAAATATTATAAATAACAATAATCAATCGTTGTTTTTATTAAAAATATTGTCAATTTTGTTTACAAATGCCGGGTGCGAATCGCTCCCGCATGTGCTACGTTGAAGGTAATGGCCTCATATCTTATCTCGAAACACGGAGGGTTGAGAGATTAAGGTTTGTTATCTAGTCTGACTTATTCAAAGCGTTGGAAAAGTGTTCTTCGTAATCCCGTGACATGCGCAAGTCTGACGTACGTACTCAGTGTCTCAGTTGTCCTTGTTGAGTACGTGTGACGGCCCCCACGTGTTATGCACATGGTTAGCACATGACAATGATTCCTGAAACGCAAGCTAGTGATGCGTATTAATGTTTTTCATATCGACCAAAGAAAAAGAGCGCAACATTTACGTCTCCATTTTCTTGGTTTGCTTCAGCCGTTTGGAGTCCTGGCGCACGTATACCGGGTAAGTTGTGTAGGGTCATGAATCCTTGGATCATATTCGTGCACGTGCACGTGCACGATTTCAACTAAAGTGTCGTCAGGAGGCATCTCCAAAGGTGTGCAAAAATGCCAAATGCATTCTCAACACCTTCTTTAACTCTCCCATCATATTTGGGCTCCCGCATATTTTGCATATAATATAATATATTTAATTTTAATTAAATATTAAAATAACAAAACACAGACAAGTGCTCCCAAGGGAGTTAACTTTTATCCATTGCTCATGTTTTTCAATTGTTGAATCAGTATTAGTTTGGTCGCAGAGTTAATTAGCTTCCTTTGATCGAGAAACTGTCACATTGGGTAAACTAATGATATATACGACTGATTAAGTGATTATATTACACTTGTAACAATAGTAAACAAACTCGACGGGAATTTTCGACAATAACAAACCAACTGTATGCAGTATTATGGTTACGTGACAAGAGAGGCCGTCTGATGCGTTTGTTAGTGCCACATCCAGCCGATCTGAGTCGATTACGAACAGTTCTGTAAGGGGTGGTTAGGTAACTATGGTGTTCTATTTCGGCCAATTTCCGCTTCGCGCGTCGCCCTTGAATAAAGCGACGCCCTTTTCAACGCGTCGCTTAATCTAAGCGGATATTGTTTGTAGTTTTGGTGATGAAATACGCATGTACCAGGAGAATTCATTTGCCGTTTGATATTTTATATTCAATACAGTAATTTATATTGGACACAAGGAACTGCCATTGATATCCTTGATATAACAATTACAATACCCCGATTATATGTTATATTTTAAATCTGTATTCTAAACTCTGGTGTGAATGATTGACCTCCGGCTCTCTGCAGATACAGTCATACACTATTATAGTTAAACACACGTTGACAGGGTACTGATAACGTCGTGGGTATGGTTTCCGTTATTTAATTTAATTTTAAATCAGTTGTTTTATCGGTTCTCACGTGCTGTATTTTATTATTAGCAACCCTAAAGAAATCAGATTAAGATCGATGTTGAAAGAATCAAAGATTACGTTCACATCTGCACTAGTTAACCTAGACACACAGTGTATAATCATTGCATGAAATATGGGAACGAAAGTCAGCTACTAGCAGGGCCCTCACTAGTTCAGCTCTGAACGTAGGTCTCATTACACTCGGCCTGTGCGTTCAGGAACTCTCCTATTCAATCCTTGTCGACACTACAATGGCTTCCCAGTCAATTTTACTGGGCAACTTTTTACTGCTAAACGGTCGCGTGTCAGTCCCTGTGAACGCCTGAACAATATAAATGAACATCTTAGTGAGAAAATAAGACCTTGCCTACCTCGCTAGAACCAGTATGAGCGACACAACACGCTGTTAAAAAAATATGTCTCCGTCTTCTCGCTGGCATACTTCATTGAAAGGGTAACGCACAAATTTACGAACTCGGCCATATAAGATGAAACGAAATATAGGTAAGCCTGGGAGAAAAAAATTGAAATCTTTGAAAAGTTGAGAATCTTCAGTGATTTATTGCTTTGCCTAGCCAAATTACAATAATTTACAATCAAATTCTTTCAAAAATCCCATTTTTTTCCCCCGGGCTTACCTAAATTTCGTTTTATCTTATATGTCCGAGTTCGTAAAGCCTATGTGGCTTGTTTCAGTGACGCCCCCAAACAACCCACCACACCCCGCCATTGATTACTGTAACTGCTTTGTTATCTTAGCCATTAAGGGAAGCACTTAGATTAGATAATTTGCCCCCCCCCCCCCCCCAAGAGGAGCCGCCCCCGGGCGTATGCTCCATTCCCTCTCCAACATAGTGTTTGGCACAGAAGGATAGCGTCCCACGAGTCTCAGTGAGTTGCATCTTCTCTCGAAAACGTACTGACAGCTTCTACTGGTATATAAGGAGGACAATACGTCAAAATTTTCATTTCACTTTCACAGATATATCGACATAATAAATTTCTCTTGACCGCATAAACAGTCTGGTGTTGCGATACTTTTTCCTCTGTGTATACTAAAACGCAAGGATTTAAAATAGATTATTTCTGCATCGGAAATTAATAAATCGGATCAATAATGGCGGAACTATAAGGGCATATATAAAGGCGTGTCAGGTATTTGAAAAAGTAAGGCTCCATACGACCATCACCACCAGAGCCAATTTTAAATTATCAGACGGCCAAGATTTCGGCACCAGGCATACAAAGCGGGGTCTAAACGGACCACAAGAGTAGCCTAACTTACACATTTCGACCCTATGTTCTAGACATACACCAGGTTATTAAAGGAGAAAATCTATAAAACTCATCATTAATTCTTAACAGATTTCTTAACAGATATCTCGAAGGGAAAGCTGTAACACAACTCAAATAAACTAATTTGAACCCACAGACACGAGTTTCCATTATCCAATTTATATCTTGACGGGGTGTCGTCAGAACTTTTGTATTTATTAGAATATGGGGTTGATGCAATGACGTCAATTACGAGAATTTTCAAAAAGTCAGCGGAATGGTGACCTTTATATACATTGATAAAAGTTATTCTCGTGTAATATTAACCGATGCATTGATACTGATGATACATGGCTTCGATTTTCAGAGCGGGTCGTACATATTGATCAAATTTGGAACTAAATTAAATGAAATCAATTGATTTATTTGAATAGATTGGGTATAAAACTAACACATGACACCAATCTGAAGCAATATTAAAATTTCGATCCGTTTCCCCTCAAACGTAAAATGTTTTGTTTGTTTTTTTTATTTTTACATAGCATTTTGTAACTGAGATTGCTTGATCGAGATAAGGTGCTTAACTAAAGATCTGTAACTTTTAGACCAGCAACAGTTCGACAAATACGCCATAGCACATACGATATATCGAAAGAGATGTTTAACATGTATGCGTTCTTCTGGCATTGAAGTGGAAGTCCGATCACAGAAATGAAAACTTATAGAAGCTCAAGTTAAATGATATATAGAGGCAAAATATCAGCGATGAAATTCTGTCAGTGGTTGTATTGTATGTAAATTTAATTTCTAGTCGATAGCTTATTTGTTTACCTCCCTTTCTTCGGGCAATGTGAACAGCACCAAGTGTAATGTAAATAAAGTCATTTCGACACAGTAATATCATGGCCGAAGATAACATAATCAATATTCCTATGTACACCAACTACACAAACATAAATATAAAAATATTATTGGTTTTAAATGTAGAGCTTATTTACATAAACTAAAATTTTAAATGTGGTCAATATTTCTATATAAAACTATCACATTTTAAATTCCCATGTAAAAAAAATATTACATTAGAAATATTTCTATACAAAATATATATTTGAAATTTGTTTCAAATTAAAGTAGGATTCACACAACCAATATTATATTCACACACCTTTTAAATTAACCAAATAATTTTTCATACGTGTAGTGTTTGGTTTTGAGCTGCTTCATTAGTTTATATAAAATCTAATTAATGAAAAGTGAATTATACATCCAACCCCACACTACATATGTGTTGTTAAATTAACGTTTATTTTCTCATCACTGTTAAAGCCGGGATTATTTAAACCGTATTTCTCTGGAATGTCATTGATGAAGTATCCATTCTTCTCCCCATTTTGTATAGTTGATGGGCTTTTCTCTGTCTCTTCGTTGGGTGGTTCGATGGTGAATTCTACATTTTGTTCTGCTAAAATTTCCTATAAAATCATAACCATAATATTATGAATACTTTCATATTGTGATATTGAAAATTAAAACTTCGAGGCTTTCAAATATTATTTGACACAACAAAATCAAAAACAAACAAGGGTTGGGTTCCCTTGAATTTGTAAATGGAAATTTGGGCATACCTCCATTATATAGATAATAATAGCAATCTTATGTACTTATTATTACACTGAATTAACACAAACACAACTTTATGGATAGCAAATCGCTGGCAACTTTACTAGTGCAAGGTTTTAACAAGTATTCTAGTGTCATTACTTGTTGAAACGTTGCAATAAAAGAAGTTGCTAGTAATTTTTATCCATAAAGTCGTGTTTGTCTTATTTCAGTGCTTCCTACTACTAATTTGACCCAAGAATAGACCGTAAGTAGTAATGAGATCTTCGGCGAATGGATGGCAACCGAGAGTGTTACCTAATCATCCCGCTGAGGAAATATTCGGCCGGGGGCTTGTGACAAGAGCTTATAATTAGCAATCGTCGGGGGCTTTCAATCGTACAAAATCGACAAATGGTATAATTTGGAAAAATTTTGACAGTAAATACCACAACGGCGGTAAGTGAACATTAAAATATAAATAATAGATGTGACGACTTTAGACAGTCTTATAAAATTAAATATACCTCTGGGTCTCTATACTCTATTCCACAACGTAATGGTTTTCTCATGGATTCCGGTAGACAGCAGAATAAACGATCGAACAGTGGTATCAAATATTTAGGATCTACTTCCTGTTTTTCAATATACGGGGCTAAAAAGAAATACGATAAATGTTTAATACGAGTTAGTTATTGTAAACGTATCTACACAAATCAAATTATATCATTATTGTATGAACTACACGTACCGGTAATCAAACTCAATATCAAACCAACTACAACTACAGTTGCTGCTCCTATAGCTGGGTACCATAAATAAGAAACAGTATATAATTTTAATATTCCAGTTCTGTAATAAAATAAGGTAAATGTTAATGATGTAGCATGTATGACTGATTTATATAACCAGCCATCATCAGAAATCGTGTGATAAAAAACATTGTGATCCGAATTTTAGGTACAACAAACAAATTGTTCTGTTATCTATGTAAACTCCTCAAATAAGAATGTAATTAAATTATTTTCAGCCAACAGGACAATGGTTTTTATAAGAGCTAAACTCGCCCCTTTTAACAAATGATTTAACCAACTATCTTTCATAATCTTTTCCATTTTGAATCGCGTAAGCCTAATATAATAGGTTTTGTTTAATTGTGTAAAGCGTTTCGATTTCTTGAATAGCCCGTAAAAGGTGTCACAAACAATATCAACAGCAAAACGGTAATACACCTTGATTGATCAGGTTTCTTCCCATCGGCAGTGCGTTTTTAAATATTTCGTATTTAACGTTAATATTAAAACAGTATTTAGACTTGATGTTGAATGATACTTACGGCTCTTCATAGCCTGCTGTTGTAGCCTCTACTATAGTCGATATAGGTGTCATTGCGGTAGTTAAAGTTATATTAGCTATACTACAAGAATTGGTAGGAAATAATAAATGCCCTGGTCTGCTGATGACACTGTAAGCTCCTATACTGATCCATAGAGGAAATATTAAACCCAGAATAGCACCTACCACAACACCCTATAAAATAAGATATGAAACATACGTCTCTTTAGCAACTCTGTCGGCGAGTCATATTTCGGTGTCATATTCAAGACCATACCCGTGAATAATGATTACAGCGACATTATTTGTATTGTGAAAACCCTCACTGGGAGTCATCAGCGTTGCCTTAAAGGACAATATTGGTGCCAGTCATTATCACATATGTGACAGAGCTGGTTAAACACATTCCAAATATAATTTTAACACAGAGATCATTGCTACGATAGCTGAGTAATACAGCTTTCCTGAATCGGAAGTGACGAACCCCAAAGGAAAACACGAGTCACCTCTATATAACTGACTGATGTGCCGAGTGATAACGGATATACGGGCGGTTAGACTCGTCTCAAATGATCTATCAGACATGGCAGCATTACTCATCAAATGAGAGATGGTATCAGGTGATTGAGAAAGAGTAAGCCCAGTCGATTTAAAAAGTAAAAAAAAAACAGGTTTAAGATATAACTTCAGAAACATGAAAGCTACCAAATCAGTGCTTTAAATTATTAATAATATTATAATATTTCTTCGTAATTCAGAACGTTTTAAATGACGCTAGTAACACTACTTACTATCCAATTGGCCCATTTAAAGAAAGCCCCTAAACAAAACATTCCTAATAAAGGTCCTGATGCTGCGCCTGTAAAACTCAGTGATGCCTGAAATAAAAATAATTAATGGATATAGATGACTACGTAATAATACCACCGCAACGAAACATCTCTTTTCATACAAAAAGCAAGGGAGAAAACACAGGTGTCTGTGACAGAAAAGAATCCTGACTTTGATGACAGAGGCAATGACACTGCTAGAAAACAAAGTCTTTCGTATTGCAATTACATTTTGTAATGGCCAGAAAAGGAAACATAAGGCTTTCGGGGTCGGTGACAGTAACCGTGAAATATCTATACAGGATTAGCTATTTCACAAGATATCTGTTTCATGGACAATAACAAACCCAGGCTATCTGAAGCTCCAGTTTGGAAAGGAAAGAAGACGTATAAATACCATTTTTTAAAATAAAACCTTAATGAATAAACCAAACCAAGATATCAGTTTCATGGACAATAACAAACCCAGGCTATCTGAAGCTCCAGTTTAGAAAGGAAAGAAGGAGTATAAATACCTTTTTTTTTATATAAAACCTTAATGATTAAACCAAACCACAGGCCACAATATATAGGAGACCCCCCCTCTCTCTCTCCTAAATATAAGCAGTGTTATTTTGGTCTAAAGGCGGATGAACAAGAAATAGGCCAATGTGTACCTGTAAAACTGTTCCTCCAAGATTTTTAGCCATAAACGCCATTCCTATTCCAGCACCACCATATAATAAAACTATGAAAACAAAATGGGTTTTATTATAAATTTACACTTATCTTATATATCTAAAATACAGATGTGACGTCATCCTTTGATGTTGGCATACCATTATTTCAAATAATGGTATGTGCAATGTGCTAAGCGTACATTATTTATGCTAGTTGAAATATTGGATCGGCGTGCCTTATTTCATCGAAATGCACTTAATGTCTCGCCCACGACCATTGAACTACACTTAAAATATACAGACACTATGCAGCACGTGCATTTAGATGAAATACGTCACGCAGGTCCAATCTTTCAACTAGTATAAATAATGTACGTTTGGCACATTGTCCGTACCATTATTTGAAATAAGGGTACGTTAACATCAAAGGATGACGTCACAATTTGTATTTTAAATAGATATAGCCACCGGGCTAACAATATATTACTTAATGTCTTCCAATCGACCGTTAAACTACACACAATTTCGTTCTAAAGCAACGGATCTCCTTTAGACATTGACAGCACTAAAATAGAATAATTGACAAGATTTAAAATTGAACAAAGAAGACGCAGTTAATTATAGGCTTCAAAATATACAATTATTAGCAGCAAAGACGTAGTGGGTTTCTGAATCGCTGTAATAGTCGATGCGTGTTTTAATATCAAGGTGACAATCTACATAAAATTCAAAATATAAAACATTTCCCATTTAGAACTCTTCGAAAAGATGTCTCCAGCACACTCCACGCATTGTCTTCATGAAGAATTATGGAATGATCGATAAAAACAATAACGATTAAATATATGAGCATGATAAAAAAAAAGTAATGTTTTTTAATGGACAAATGGAACATTTCTATTCAAAGACCAAATGATACCAAGGAAACATCATAATCTGAATTCTTAAATTGATAACAGTACCTAAAAGCTTAGTTACGTATGTTTTCTTTCTTTCAGTAAGGTAATCAAAATGTGGTTTGAGAAAATCTTCCCATGTGACAGCAGCTAGAGCATTTAAACAGGACGACATTGTACTAAAGAGAAACAAATACATATTAATATTACTTTAAATACAGTCAAAGTTTGAATAGAAATAAAATACATTAAGACAGGATGTGCCATCTTCAATACAGTCAACGTTAGAAAAAATACAATACATTGAAAGGGTCACCTTAAAATATATCTCCAAATATATCGATATTATGCCACAATATTCATATTATGCCCCAAGCCTTCTTATCTTAGCTTACCCCATTTATCGATCATCAACGGCCATGTTGCATTTAGTAAGTTATAAGCATTTAGAGTGCAATATAAAATAGGAGAAGGGGAATTTTAATGAGACCATCACGGTAAATTTCACTGACAAGAGAATCTACCACAACAATGATGGTAGGCCTTTCGTATTTGAGCCATCAAGCGTGGTCATACTTCAATAGTTGACGAATGATGTTTTTTTTCCAGGTAGATCGTTTGTATTTATCCTCCCGGACGTTGACCGAACTAATCACAGTTTTAACGTCAAATGGTATGACACATCCATTATTGCCCTGTCGGATTGACAATATGCGACATCTCATTTGTTCTGTGTTCTAATATTGGTCTTTGATGTCTTGTTATATAACATCTTGAGACGGAAATTAATTAAGGACTAAATGAAATTCATTATAACAAGCGTTTATCAAAGCAAAGAACCCATATTACAATTCTTGTATGTGTCTCAATTGGTTGACACATGTCAATCATTGAGAAATTAGTCGAACTAAAGATTCTATCATATCAGATATATTCACATTACACAGTTCATACATCATTGTGTAAATACCCGAATACAGAAAACACTATAGAAATAGGATTGTTTTTGTGAAAGTTTCGGCTGAAAAACTAACCCCAATAATAAGCCCTCTTCGAAACTTCACAAACGCCACTGTCTAGTTTGGTCAAAGGTCACGAGAAGTAAGCAGGGCTAGCGCTAATCCCAACCCCAACCCTGGACCTAGCCCTAATGCTTACCCTTACCCTAACCTACAATCTCGCCAACAATCACGTGTCCTTAGCGACCTTGACGAAAATTGAGCTGGTTTTAATACATAGATTTAGCCGTCTCTCTTGACGTTTGTCATGTTGACGTCCCCCCCCACACTCTCATCCCAGAGACACATATGGGTTCAGCACACTGGTCACTAAATACAGGTAGAAACTATATATACCGTTGTATTGCATTTAAATTAAGATAACGTTTTCCTCAGAGCCTTTTACAAAGAGAATTAACCGGCTGTATTCACTAATATAATACTTATATAATACGAATAAATGTTCAGTAAATCTTATATTGAAAAAAATAGCTGCATTATTGCTTGATCTGAAGTCCAATACATACAACATGGAAGAGATGAATGGCCGAACACATTATTTTGCCCGTAAATACCAGTTACGGTTATACGCTTATTACATCCATGGACGGATATTTTAACACATACAAAGGAAAATGATATATCGAGAAACGATAATTGCAATAATAACAGCATGAACACAGTAGACACATTTATTTGGTATATATCCTACATTTTACAAAATAAGACGTATTTTACTCGTTTCCGTTTACCTGACATGTAGAATGTCATAAAGTATAATTACCTTAATGCACCACTGAATAGACAGGATATAAACAAACCAGGTAATCCAGGATAACCCAGAACTTCCATTACAAAATATGGTATTAACTAAAATATTCAATATAATAAAAGTAATAACATATATTACAAATGAAAACAAACTCCAATATGAATATGTTTCTTGTAGTCATTTAATGATTCTTATTATTTATTTAGCTAAATGAATTCAGTAAATGAAAAAGGAAATCGTAAATAACGTACTAGCTGTTAGAATACCCAAGGCCAATACGCCCATCCGTTACCACGAACCCTATTGACATTTTGTTCTGTGACCAGTAACTCCAGTAGGGTCGTCTGTCCAACCTCTTGGGTTTTCTCCGGGTCCTCCGGTTTCCTCCCACTGCTAAAGACCCCTATGCGCAAGCGAATTATTGAAATAAAAATTAAACCATATGTTAGTCCCGAAATGACCTAGTTTGTGTCGAGTGGACGTTAAACCCCATTTCTCTCTCTCTCTCTCCAGTAACTTCTTTGGCCAAGCTTATTCTAACATTTTACACCGTTGCCACAGCCGGTGTCTAAATCTTGGACCCTTCTCGTTCTTTGGGATGTGTCAGTTTACAAGTGCTACCCCTCCTTCATTAGCGAACAGAATCGAATGATAAAGGGCAGATATACTCGTTAAGAAATACCAATCCCTTTTGATGCTTGTTTTTTTTTACTCGTAGGTCGTTTAGTTCTTGATTGTTGCTAACTACGTTCATGATTAAATTTTCAGGACTTAATCATAAATCCCTAAACCAAGTATCAATGTATGTTATGTCATGGCTCAGATATACGTCAAATCTATTCTAGCATGTACTACAGAATCAAATTTCCCAGCGCCGAGAATGCCCCCGCCTCCCGCCCTTAAGAGCCCTAAGCTTGGTCTGACTACTCTCCTTTGGAGACCCCACATCGCCCCTGGATGGTTAGATCTATTTGATAAGGCCAACTTATAGTTTGGTTAAAAGTCACGACCTGGACCTTGCCCTAACGCTAACCTATAACCTACAATCTCGCCAACAATGACGTGCCCTAACCCTTACAATAACCCACAATCCACATAATATGACGTCATATGTGCTTTAATGTGCAGAACCGTCTTCGATCTAGCGTTCTACCCCTACATCCCATCGTAATCTATCCCATAATTCCGATAAAAGCCACGTCCTCTTTTACGTAACTAATCTGCGAAATTCCATTGGTTAATTAGGAGCTAAGCACTTCCGGTTTCCATTTGACCATGCTTGAATCATTAGAACACGAGACGCGACAACGTCGAGTTGTTCTAATGGATAATTCAAGCATGGTTAAATGGACAATAAACCCCCGATAAACGTAACAGGAACGTGTTTATCGATATTGTAGCTTAAATATTTAGGGATTTTCTTCGGAACTATTTAGGAAACATTTTTACACCCATTTTAAAAAGTCATTATTTGGCCACGTGCTTGCGTTCATTTTTCAAAATATTCTCAATAGATTTAGACCGTCCTTGCTTTCCTGCCAATATAAAATGCTTAAGTCTCGAGTTGCTGAAAAATGAATTATGAAAGAAAATGTTATTCGGATATCGACAAAAAAAAAATAAACAAAAAAAATTAATGTTTGAGGAGTTTTAAAAGAACAGGAAATTAGTCTTATTGCGGTATTTAGGGACAAGTGCCAGCTGATCGAAATAATTCCGGCCTGCTATCCGAGACTAAAAGAGGAGTAACTCTTGGCAAGAAGGATGACTTCACTTCGGGGGTTTCATGTAAGTTTTCAGCCTTTATTATTTTATTTGCAGACTGTTATCACAATGTTGTAGCTAATTCTTGTTCACACAATTGTAGTTCGTACTTTCATCCTCCAAAATACCCTATAAAACTATGACAGTGATATCTAGCCTAAGATTCTAGTGGTTGCTATGTATACTGTTCTTTTGTTTCGTAATGATGATTGAAAATGGTGTGATAGTCATGTGTGCAGAATTTCTTTAAAATATTTGCCAATAAAGATTTGAGTTGAGGAAGATCACTGAGCACAAAAATGAAAAAAAAAGTACACTGTAATATGTATTCGCAGTAATTCGCCTTGATAATTTACAGGGGGTTTATTGTCCATTCGACCACACTTTTCGAACACTCAGAACCGAGGAAATTTCTAATTGGTGTTACAATTTGTATTAGTGACATTATTATCGCGACCTCCAGTTTCATGTGGAGTATGACATTTGGTAATACGGAAAAATTGTATTTCTGCGAAAGATTCAAATAGTTGTTCAAAGTTAATATAAAGATAACACACGCCTCCCACAGAAATTAACTCGCTTGTTTTGGTTCAGATTTCTTTAAAATAACTGTTGAAATGTACTATTCAAACAAAGACGTGGTGTTTGTTGTAAGTATTCGACTTTCTGAATTTTAGGAAAAAGAATAGAGAGAAATCGAATTAACAGAGACATGATGTCTTACTGTGGTATTTAGTTTTGACAGAAATTACGAATGGATGTTAGTTATTATAAAAAGTAATCCATATCGTGTAGTCTTTAATATTGTTGAGTCCTATAAATCTAATAACGACCAAGCTACAATTCTTATACTCCATTTATTTCTATTAAGGAACTTTTTATCCAGACAAACGAAGAAAAAAATCCTGCCATTAGAAAACGGTTTTAGAACTGAGCTGAATTTTTATTAATAGGGTGTCATATTATGTTATCAAAACGGAAGGCAAAAACAATGGCTGTTATGTTATAAACCGAGAGATACCTGTAATATTATGATCAAGTCGTCGATCATTGCGTAATATAGATCAAATATGCAACGAAATACCAGCAGCTTTATTATTTGGGTGTAAGTTTAAATTAGTCACAATTTCCTGTTTTGGTACGTAGCCTTGAAGATAAATTTGGCTAAATATTATTATTTTTGATGTCCGACAACGTCCACCACTATAGCTAAAAAATTTATTTTTTAGATTATTTAATAATCTAAAAAAAAATCTATTTATCAAACTTTGGTTAAAAGCGAGTTTAATCTTTAAAAATCAAAGACTTACTACATTAATCGAAAACTCTCTGGGTATAAGTTACAATATGCGATAGCCGAGATGCAATTTCTTCGCTTAGAAAATACGAGAATGTTTAACGTTGTTTTCAATTTGGCTGTTAATAAGTACTCCTGTCTCGGTAGTTTGAAGAATATTCGGTATACCGCCCTCTAATGTACATGTATGTACTATCTATAAATATATGTTTATGTTTCCGTACACATAACAACCGTCGAAGACAAATACATTCCGCCCTGTCTGGTGATTGCAATAATTATACAAGAACAGACGGACAATGTAATAAATCTGTACGTCTATCAACAATAGACTACATAACGATTAACCCAGTTTTATTTACCACAGATTGTCTCTGGAATTATTATTTAAATATCAATGTCTAAAGCTGAGGATTATATGGGATAAAAGAAATTATAATGGTCGGAAAGATACATTTAAGAGAATTACCTGATTTGAGTTACTAACATAGCCGGCAGACAGTGGGTCACAACCTTTTTGAGCATAATAAGCAAAAACGACAATGCCGGTTAAACTGGTTAATGTTAATAAAATTATAACTCCAATTACATTCAACATCACAGAACTAGAAATAATAGAAAAACAAAAATAGAAAGAGTTTTAATAACACACGGATTTACTGTGGCGATATATAGGCGCAACAACTTTACCGTGTTGAGTGTATATAATTTAAAAATTAAGACCGTATACAACCTATCAAAAATCCCTTATAATATTTAACGAAATAGTTCTATTAAAAAACGCTACTGAATTACATATACTAATACATTATTTTAAAAATCTTTAAAATCCAAACTTTGACAATGAATCCGAGACTAATTTACATTTATAGAAAGAACCTATCATACCACTTAAGGATAGTGCACCTAGTCACTGGTCTTAATGTATCGGGGCAATTACCTAAATATGGTCAACAGCCCAGATTTAAGGTCATAAATTTGAATGTGTAACTGTAATATTATAACGGTAAATATGGCAAACGGTCAACTGTCTCGTGCTTATAGGGACATGGGTATGTATGCACAGCAAATCGGGGTAAATTAGATGTTTGGGTGTAAAAGATAAAAGCCAAGAGCCATTGCAGATCTCGTCATAGGCCACAAGATGTAGATAGGGTTAGGGAAGGTGATTGTTGACGAGTTTGTGGGTTAGGTTTAAGAATTTTGGGGAGATGTTGAGTCTCCACATAAGCAATGACCTAGGATGATGACAATCTCGTGACCTTTGTCTAAATCTGAAATGACTCTTGGCTTTTAGCCCTAACCGGTGTTTGGGTGAAATAAACGTCCAGGGACAGACTGGTCCATCAACTTCTTGTACTCATCATAAGTCACGAGAAAATCGCTACTTATTCCAAGAAATTCCCTATTAGTATACAGTGTTTAGGTCCTGGTATCAGTTCCTTTCGTGTGCCCAAAAACACATTAAATGTTATAGAGTTCTAATAATGTTTTAATTAATGTTTTAGTTACGTAACGGAAGTCTTAATCTGTACATATCAGACATTATTCACACACGATGGCATCGAAGGAACAATTATTAATAGTATTGTATTGTTTCTATTTTTAATGACCTAAATTGTAGATTTAAAGACATCATTTCAGAGGGCAGATAAGACAGACGTGAGCGTTAAAGTGGTGTGAATCCTATTATCATAGCTGTTGTATAATGGGTTTTACATGTTATTAACTAATGGCGAAGTTAGCTGGTGGATTTATATACACAAAGACCATATGGATCCTCTAAAAGCCAGTCAATCTTTGGAATAGACAAACTTTGGGACTCTTATTACCCCACACGAAGCAGTAATTTAATTTAAGCTCCCCAACACTGGCTACGTTATTACACAATAAAATACATCGGTACATCAAGTATTGATTTGTATTTGGTATCATTGATAAATCAGTACCAGAATCAGATTATTTCAACATCGGTGGTCATCACCAAATGCAATTTATACTTTAGCTTTGCTTATGTGCTTTTAAATTAGATCTAGTTGTTGATAAAACTGGATAGATAAAATGCCCAACCAGATGCAAAATAGATCTCCTTGTAGTTTCTACAAGATGTCGGACGAAACGCGGGAGGGGATTAGAATTCATGTCTCGGACTGTTTCTGTTTTTTTGTGTGATTTACCTACATACTTTAATGTTAAAGGTCAACTTCTTTCAAAAGCTTCAACCGGTTACATAGAGATCATACATCTTTCTAGATGTTTTATAAATGTTATGTTGGTACTATGTATGGGATAGGTGTTTTAACTTGACTGACAGATAGAAATTCGCGTAGATTGTTATTGACGTAAACATAGTCCAGGTTGTGTTAATGTTGTCCTGCAAGTAATAAAATGAAAATACCAGTTCATCAGTATGATTATCCACTTACAGTTTAGCCTTTTTTAATGTAGGCAGAGCACAATATCTCTGTACACTGGCTTGATTTACACCATACGTGGATGTCCATCCTATCGTTCCACCAACTACAAGTGACCAGAACGAATGTCTTTGAGTTGGATCTGGGTTAAAGCTGAAAATGGAATCGAACAGAACATTATCACTAACCCTAGTCGCCCTATATTTTTATATACTTCGTTTATGTTTCGCTGTGTTCCGAAATATTGGTCACCTTAAGTTACTGCAGCGCAGCAGTATTTTCAATATTTGATTATTTCACGATATTTTGTCGGGACCAATATTACTTTTTATGACCCTTTTTCGAATTTATGACCTAAGAAAGTCGCACCAACATGTTAGTTATAAAAAATCGGGTGAAGAGGTTTTTGATATTTGTAAACTTTATTCAGAATAATCATTGATACTATTTTCGTAAATAAATATTCCCAAAGGCAACCACAACAGCACCATTTCTGTCCAGCTACCTGGATTCGATATGTGTAGTCTAAGTATGACAGTTAGTATTATTGCACACAGAGACTAACAATTCAAAAAAATAATCTTACGGTTACTTGTGCATTGCGAGCTGTGAATTGTCCATGAACAATGGCGTTTATGTGTATTACACGGGGCCTCGGTTGATCGTCACACGCAAACGACTTGGCACATGTTACCCGGCGCCACCCCTGACAAGTTAATCCGGGCTCGAACAACCCACACCGGGATTGAGTCGTAACTACACAATCACCGCGTCCCACAAGTAAAATATAGAACAAATCTTTAGGAGTAATGATGTCAGAATTTCTACCAATTTTCTAGTTAACTAAACTTGTGAACAGACGGACTAATCAAGGGAAATAAATTTGTCGATCAGCAGAACTATTTCAAAATTAATGCTCCCAATTAAGTCCTTTGAAGAAAGGGTGATAATTTTGTCAATAATCATCCAAATGCTTACCTATTAAATATTCTCAATCCGTTTCAATTCCTATTGCTTGTAAAAAGAATAGAAGGGAAATTTGGAGGCAAAGGAATAATTCTGATTGACCTTGTTAATCATTAATTTTCAAATATTTTAAAAGGGCTTATTGCTCTCCTAATTCCCCCCAATTCCCTCCAACCACCAATCATCGAATTTCATAAATATGAATAATAAAACACTGCAAGTTTCATAAAAATAGAAAATAACTAAATAAATCACCAATTTCGTTTCAGATTTATGATACAGATTGTCTTTGTGAATGCTAAATTGCTCCAACTATACCTACTCGAAGAAATCAATTCTACCCCAGGCATCATTTATGTTCCATACTTCTGTCATCCCTCCAACAACTATAGAACCCTGTAAATATATTTCTTTATAATTTTTCAAAAAATCTTCAGGTAAAATACATCTTAACATTGCGTTTCGTTTAATTTTCGATTGTTAACTCCACTTTATGTTAACAGAGAGACCCGTTGAATACACGGAATTGTATTAAAATTGAAATCTATAACTGTCTGATATATTATACCCATTAATGTAGTTCAATTATATTGTTCATGTATAATACTTATATACAACTTGACATGTAGATATCGTCCCAATCACTTGGTTCGTAAATAATGGTAATAAATTGAAAATAAATCATTCGTCTTGCCCGATAAAGTGGCTCTGTTAGTGTCAAATCGATACTATTATAAATATGTACTGGACAACGACATAAATTTATTCTGTAAAACGAAAGGTCATTATTAATCTACAATGAACGGTGACAGGTTGTGCCAACCTCAAAATACAAACCTGAACGTATCACGGTTTAAGCTAATGTTTTGGGAAATGTTGGGAAATGTTATTAACTATGCAGCAGCACACTAATTGAGCATTCTGCAAGGCTACATAATTTTCCTAATTTTTTGTATGCGCAGGCCTTCCACTGATAATAATCCACGTGAGTTTCTTGTATAAACTAAAACAAAGGATAGGAAAATTATCATTACCTGAATAACAATTGCCAATAAACCTGCTAACATAATGCTAGATTGAAAGACATCAGTCCAAATGACAGCTTTCATACCACCCTATAATGTTAAAAATAACATGAAATATACTCTTCCAAAATGTAGGGGATATTGAAATGTAAATACATATGCAGGTTATTTTATGATAAATAGTCATGGACACTTGACATGCTTTGAGAGTATGTTCACAGATGAAGAACTTATCGCCCCAACAGAACCACTGAGCTGCACATGCGACACGCAATAGCGCCATACACGTGGGAGGGGTTCATTGTCAAATTTGACACTTCAAGGAAGGGTTGATGTAACTGCCGCGTGCTGGTTTATCCTATCCATGTTTGCTTTCATATCGGTTCTCGCATACGATTTACTGTTTAGCGTATCTTTGCTTTAGTGTGTGACGTTTAATTTGCAATGAGACGTCTTCAACATGATGAACGTCTACGTGCTATTGACATGCTTCAAATGGGTTCTACACAGCGAGCAGTAGTCAACATGCTTAATGTGTCACAGTCTGTGATCAGCAGACTGTAGAACCGGTACCAACAAACACACAATGCTGATGATAGACCTCGTTCAGGTCGTTCTAGAGCCACTACACAAGCCCAGGATACATTCGTACACAGGTCCTGCGAAATCGAGGACAAACGGCAAATCAGCTTTCTGTAAACTTGTGCCAAGTAACAGGAATTCGAGTTACACCCTAAACGATTAGAAATCGACTACATGCAGTCCATTTGCATGCGCGACGACCGCGTTTTGTGCCTCCATTAACTCGCCAGCACATGGCAAACAGGCGTCAATGGTGTAAGCAGCGTAGAAATTGGGGTAATCGTCGATGGGCGGGTGTAATGTTCTCAGATGAGTCCAGATTTACTCTGAATTTCACCGATAGGCGTGCTCGCGTTTGGAATTGTATAAATGAGCGTCATGCTAACGTTAACGTCGGGCGTGGGCCTGTTATGGTGTGGAGAGGAATCACCATGACTGGCAGAACGAACTTGCATATTGTTCAAGGAAGGGTCACTGGTGTGTACTACCGTGACCACATCCTGGCACCGATAGTTCTGCCCTTTGCTCAACGTGCAGGTCAACGTTTCATCTTTCAAGATGATAATGCCCGTGCCCACCGCGCTCGAATGACTACCTCCAGCCGTGAGTCCTGACCTTTCCCCTATAGAGCATGTTTGGGACATGATCGGGAGACGTGTTCGTCGACGTCAACCGAAACCACTGAAAAAATTGGCCTCGGCACTGCAAGAGGAGTGGGTCACATTGCCCCAAATCGTGATTGGACAGTTGATTAGAAGCATGCCACGAGGAATTGCTGAATGTCTGAGGATTGGTGGATACTCATTATTAAGACAAAAATCAAAAACGTCCATTTTCACTTTTGACAGTGTATCTTGGCGAGTGAAATGGGGCCGTCAGATAAGCCGCCCATATAAACTGTTTATGTTCATGTGTAGGCAATTGGCCTGTTATTAACATACACCGGTTATCTCTAATAAAAACAGCAGTGCATTTCAGCAGTTTTGGATTGTTTCGGAATATCCCCTACTTTTGTTGAAGAGTATAGAAGAATATAAAACCGTTACGTGTATCTCAGGGCCGTCTTATTGTTGTGCTATTTATTGATATTATGCTATATTACATATAACTAACCTATATAATACGACTTTTTCAGAGACATTTAAGTTCGAAATTTTCTGAGTGTATATAATCTATTACTAACCAGTGATGTATAAAATGTTGCGACTAGACCTACAGTAATAATGGTAGCCCACACGGGAAATCCAGTTACTGAAAAGAAAGACATTAATGGAAGTTATTGTTGTTTCTAGGAATCTGGTATCATAAAATGAACGCTAGTATAGAAGACAGCCATTACAAGAAAGTTTCTAGTATTGATAGTTAACCAAATTATCATAGTCATCAAGACAAAGGCTGTGGTTGTTCGAGATAACTAGCCTGTCCAGACATGACGGTTGTAACCATTACTTGATACAGCAAGACAAGGACAATTACAAATGACAAAAGACTATGACTTCCTGCAGAAAAGCACGCAATTTCAATGACGGCAACAATTATGGTGGCTGAAAGCGTCCATTTAGATCGGCGGGTTTCTAGATACAACGCGGGAGTCGCCGTTAAGCCAGCACGACGAAAACGGCGCCGATCGGCGACTTTTTCGTCGTACTACCTTATCGGCGACCCGCGACTTTCACTACACGAGAGTCGCCGATCGGCGACTTTTTCGTCGTACTACCTTATCGGCGACCCGCGACTTTCACTACACGAGAGTCGCCGTTAAGCCACGCGCCGAAAAAGTCGCCGAAAAAATCGGCGCCTTTTTCGGCGACTTGCTTAACGGCGACTCTCGTGTTGTGAAAGTCGCGGGTCGCCGATAAGGTAGTACGACGAAAAAGTCGCCGATCGGCGCCTTTTTCGTCGTGCTGGCTTAACGGCGACTCTCGCGTTGTATCTAGAAACACGCCGATCTAAATGGACGCTTTCAGCCACTATAAACAATAACGAATAAAGTAAAATTTCCAAAATGTGTTATGGAGGCGCATTCCACAGCCAAACAATTTGATTTTATTATCCACATAACAGCTACATTAAGTCAGTTATCGGTGGTGTCTGGCAAACGAAAAGAAAATCGCCCCGGTTTCTTGAATTTGTTAGTTTGTAGGCAGAACCTGTAAAATGAATGGGGGTCACAGTGGCTAAGTGGGTAAAACGCTGGCTCGCTAGCCTGGAGGTCGGATATTAGATCCCTGCATTGGCCGAGAAAGTTCATGCCTATTTTCCGGCGTGATTTCACCTTGTCAGTAATGCAGGACTGGGGCCCGGCAAAGACAGCTGTCTATAGTCGATCGGGTGAGACGAAAAACCGAGCTTCCGTGTACACATTGGCGTGCACGTAAAAGATCCCTTAACGGTTGGAATTTGATATAAGAGTAGGCCGCTGTGCCGCTGTCCGATCCCGTCTTCATTAGCCCAGTTTGAAGCAGAACAGTAGGACGTTAAACCCCATTTCATTTCATTTTGTTAAATGTATAATTAGAATATATTTACCCGCTTCTAAAGCCGTCGAAGGCGCATAAGACGCAACACCCATGTACAAAATCTGGAAGTGAAATAATATTTAGTTTTAAAATCTATGATAGTTACATCAAGTAGTTCCAAAATCATACAATAATAATATTATAGAAAAATAATTCCCAAATTGTCCAAAGCGATTTAAATAGCAGACGTTTTAAAAATACATTCTCGCGATAATATTTATGGGGTGGTTATTTCCAACAAAAGTGTATATGGAATCTTAATAGAAAAATACTGGAATACTCGAAAAACACTCATGGAGCAATCACTTAGCCAAAATGCCAGGGTATCACTAGTCTCTGGTATCACTAACTAGCAACCCTGGCGGCTTATTGTCTGCCAGCTTGACTTAGGGAGCGGTTATTGGTCGAATGGTTAAGCCGTTTTGGGAACATTGAGAGGTGAAAACGTAGAACAGACTCTGCAATTAAACGGCAGAAACAGAAGTTGGCAGAAAATAATTCAAGAATTTACTTAGGCCTTAATAATGTAAGGTAAATGGATAGCAAGTAATGACAAATACATTCTCATTCAAGTTAGGTGTCAAACATGACTTCTAAAAATAGATTTTTTAATATAGCTTGGGGTATCTCCTCGCCAATACAAAGCCAATTTTTGAAACAGTAGATTAATTAATTTGAATATGTTCATAGTCAAAATATATCATCAAATCACACCGGGAAGGTATCTTTAAGTATATAATTCCAACCTGGAATCGGAGTATTTCTTATACCGGTCTAGAATCGAGGTATTTCTTAACCTTCGATCACACAAAGAGATGTAACCAGGGATTCGGAGTTTCTCAGTGTATGGATTAAATGACCACAACAATTATATCTGAGCGAGGATCGTAATTTGTATGTTATTACCTGTTGAATGATCATTATACATGTCCCTGTTAATTTAGCTGCCTTGGAGTTAAATCTATACTGCAAATACTGAAAGATACAAAAAATATCATATAACTATACGGATTTAACATATCGACTGGGTTTATTTCAAACATGCACCCACCAGCTACTAATTATCAGCTAAATAACTCTTTAAAAAAATAATTAAAAATCGGATCATAATTACGACTCCTAAGGTTTAAACAAGATTTCTTAACAGTGGAATTTACCCAGAAAGTTCTTTTCTTTGCATTTGGACAGACAATCAATATAAATTACAGAATGACATCCACATAGTAGAGGTCCCTAAGTGGAATAACTAACATGACAGTAAGTGAGACTTGTGCCCTCCCCTATAAACTAATAGATAACATTCATTCATAAGTGGCTCATTTATCTGTATGTTAAGGCATCGAGAAATTAAACTGCTTACCACTCAGATCAACCTGAGCAGAAACTGTTCATCATCAAATTTGGTCATGACATTGCTGTAATGAAACTACACCAAGTTTCATCACTCCAATCAATGAGATTAGGAGTTATCGTATTCCTAAGTATGGACAAATGAAATTGCTTATCGGTTAGATCTATTTTTAAGGCCATCTCCAGGTGTGGCCAAAGGTCACGAGATGTAGGCTAATCAGGGCTAGCGCTAATCCCAACTCTAACCCTGGACCTAGCCATAACCCACAATCTCGTCAACAATTAAGTGCACTAAACTTATTTACATCTCTGCGACCTTGTTGACATCTGGAGATTGTAGAAAACGCAAGTCATCGAGTCATTTCAAGTATGAATATTCTACGTCAATTAGAAGAAGAGTTAGTCTAAGCAACGAACATGGTTTCATCCGTTTCACTTGGTTAGAATCATAGTTATCGTGTTACAAAGTCTGATCCAAACCAATTGGTTATCTCTGCTTAGTCCAGGCAGAAAATGCGCAGCATCAAAAACAGTCAAGACATTAACCAAATGAATATCTTCAAGATTATACACTCAAAAGATTAAATCCCCTCAAGATTAAACCCAAACACTACGTTCATTTTCACTCATCTTTTTTCCTTTTAAAGAACATTTTAAAATTGGCACACGAATCGTGTAACACAAAAACCACAGTAATATAAGAATAGAAATGATTGAATGTAAATCAGTTTATATACATTCATATTACATTATTGTATGCTTTGCGACTCATTTCTGTCCATTTCTAGGTAGCAAAGAATAGGGGTTTAGTTCCTTTAAAGAAAACTGCCAAATCTGCCTATAGCAAGTCGTTTTCTGGCTTCAAATGTTATATATAAATTATCATTTCGACACTTATTTTCATGACCAGTCCATAATCAACTCGCTGTACCATCGGAAAACTTAGATATTGAATGGATTGAAACACAATCTTCATTTAATAATTTAGAGTAAAAATGGATAATCAAGACTTTATTTTTATGGAATTAATGGTTCTTGACAATCGTGACTCTACTGGCAAAACTTCAAACACTAATAAGTTCGCCCAAAATCCAAGAATTTGACTAACATTTTCAATATATTCAAATTTTTTTCAGGGTCTATTATAGAACTATTATGACAAGAACGGGCAACCCTTTATTTAAATCTTATTAAATCTTTATCTAAATGCATCCTTTAATTATATAATTAAAAATATTGTCTTTACAATCACTTGAAGCTAGTTTAAAAAAAAAACAACCATGAAGTAATCGTGAGGGGGTGGGGTGGTATTCACTGTTAAATGTATTATATTTAACTCTTGTAAAACATTATCAAGCAGACATGACAATCATATATTTTAAAAGATAAGGTAAATATATCGTAAAGATAAATTGTTAAAAAAAAATAACATACAAAGTATGTATCGTTCGTGTTATAATGATAAAATGTTATTTAATGTGTTTGTATTTCCTTGGAAAATTTATTAAAACAGTGCATATAATACGGACACATCTTGTACTATTGTATTATTGTCTGATATAAAACCCACGTTAAAGTTTTTTTTTAATTCTGAAATTCATTCGAATTGATCAATATCGGAGCAGCACAGACTTTGGTGAAAAGACTTGTATGCAGGTGCCTAGCAAATTAGTGTCTTTTGACTGCCCTAGAATCCAATACTTTTACCGGAATTCGGTTGGTACTAATGACACGATTAAAATCTCTGTGCGTCATTTGGATTTTTCGGAAGATATCAAATTTTCCATGGCTTAATAAACTAAAATTAAATAAAGAAATAACCCCCCTACTTACGTTAAATTTAAAATAAGTCCCATTAAAATATTTCCCGTTTATTTCGTCTGCATTGTATATTTCCAATTCCCCAGCTCTTTGTAAACTCTGAACGGAATTGAATCATTGTGATTTCCAAACCAAATTATATATTATCTGCATGATTAAATGCCAAATTTATATCCATATTTATTTTTGTGATTGCAAACTTACCTCAAACGAACTTGTCAGTTTTAAAGGATACAGAAGAGGAACAAAAAATATAGATGTCATAATGATAGCAAGTATCAAACCCAGAAAAAATACACAGTATTCAGTTCCTGCTGTGTATATTTCAGCCGGCATTCCAAGAATCAAAATGGCTGACGTAAAACAAACTATCATGGACACCGATACAGGAATTACGCCCAGACTTCTACTGGCCATCAGGAATTCTCCTGTAGAAACTTTTCTTCTAGCCTCGATAGCATAGTAAATTCCAATAACAGCCGATATTAAAAGCAGCAAAGCAAATATCATAAAGTCCCACAGTTCAAAACTTCTTACTTCAGACATTTTGGATTTCTTAATTTGTTGGAATGTATTAGTCACAAAAAACGTTAGTCTTAAACTTTTAACCCATGGAACCCATGTATGTGACCGCCAAGTTCTATACGGCCACAACTATTCAAACAAACAAACATGTAAAAGGATATAAAATCAAACAACATAATATTTAAATGTTTTTTTTGTAACCGCGTGTTTTCTATGATGTATAAATAACCGGTAAATGATTACTGCTTTCTATTGACAATCCGTCACTGGAAGGAGGATAAACCCAAGCTAATGACAACAAACGTATATTTTTTTTTATAAATGTAAGGTGAAGGATGACATTACAACACGTCATGATTTATAATCCTTCAGTTTGTCACTAAAATAAGACATTAAATAAGTTAAAATGTCTGTATGTAAATCGTCGCTTTTCCGACAAACCGGCGAATAAGAATAACCCTTTATTAGAGGCATTTAGCAACTGGATATAGCATTATATTAATTTTATTGGTGTATCGTAATAGTTTAATTCAACAATATACAATTATTCGCCATAAACTAAAACACATGGAAGAACGATGTTTAAAAGAGTATTTACTAATATATTTGAGCGACGTAAAAGAGAAACGTGGCCCACATAAATTAGTAATTGTCCTTCCATAAGTATGTGTTTTAGTTTACAGTATATTGTTGAATGATACAATATGTAAAAGTTAAATTTATACCTTACCCAAGTGACGATTAATATTATTGGTTCACCGAAAGAAATTTCTAACCTTACATTATGAGAAATAACAATCAAATAATTCTCTGATTAACCTAATCACAAAAATATTTTTTATTTATTTGTTTTAACTCACGTATCCTGTAACTATACTATAACTATAATACCTGATATTTCCCAGAATTATTGCATATTGCATTTATGTCTAAACCAACATTCTTTGAGATCGTTTTTCTTGATGAGATGATCATGTGCTAATTGGAATTCCGATGGCTTAGCAGATATTAAAGTTATTGGAGGAAGACGCTTGGTGGTGGGGCCGAAGACAACAAGTAGCAGAACTGCACTGTCATCGTTGAAGAGCCATGTACACCTACCCCATCACAAGGGATACGGAAAATATACCAATGTCCTCAATAATTTCAAGGGGGGGTTTACCAGAAGACGCTAATCTAGTTCACGAAGAGCCCGTTCGTGCTCTAAGAGAGAGAGAGAGAGAGAGAGAGAGAGAGTTTAACGTCCACTCGACACAGACTAGGTCATTTCGGAACTGACGTGGTTTAATTTTATTTCAATAATTCGCTTGCGCGTAGGAGACTTTAGCAGTGGGAGGAAACCAGAGGACCCGGAGAAAAACCCACGATCAGGCTGGACAGGCGACCCTACTCATTGTCACGTACACGCCCGTTGACTCAATGATAGGCCTTATGATGCAGCGCGCGTGCTAACCATTCGCCCCCCCCCCCCCCCCAACAAGAACATTTCCCAAAAGATGAAATGAATCTAGAAAGTGCGGATTCGACTGTTGATGATTTGAAATCATTGAAAACGGCTGGCCCAAATTTAAAAGCGTTTTGTTAGAACCAAAACACGAAATATCGTAAGTAATGTTGTCTATACAGGAATCACACACATTATTATAGTCTAGGGGCTAAACGTCGAAGAATACAAGTCCTAAAACCAACATTCCTCGATTTACCGGCAACAAAAAGTAAAGACAATGTTCGGAGATTACCAATGACATTTTTGACAGATTCTGCGTTCAAAATTCGAATATAAATGGGTTCAATTCTCAGATGTCAACCGCAACACGGACCCACAATGGATGGACGGGACCTCACTGTCCATGACTTTGAAAATCCGATGCCGGGAAACAGTTTTATTTAAGTTGACATACAATTCATGTCATATATAATGATTGTTTTTGTTTTTCCTGAGAAAAAGTGAAATAATTAATTCAAAATCATTACTGGGAGTAAATTCTTGTGAACGAGAAAACCAGAAATGAAAGTCAATGGGACAGAATCTCAAGATCTGCCACTGACAATTCCGCCTGTTTTGTTGACTGTAACGTGAATATGATAGCGCCAAGGCATTTTAAGACCACAGAAGAATGTTGCCATAACGGAATCGAGCGCCGCATGCGCGAATTTTTTTTAGATAGCAACGTATAATATCTAACTAAGCTTTTAATTGTTTGGGACTGGGAGAATGGGAGAATATTCTCGTGAACGAGAAGATAGGAAATGGGACAGAATCTGGAGGCCTGTTGGTTAATTCCGCCTGTTTTGTGAGAGTTGATATCACATTTCTATAGTCTGTCGCCCCACAACCGCTCACTAGTGCCACTACTGAGTCACTACATAAAGATCTGACTGGTTATAGCGGAAGGTCGCGTCACGGGTCATACGAGCGGCTTTTGACCTTATGGTGTAAGACATTTGATTAGCCAATCAGTGTTTCTAGTGGGAAACTTACAGTTCCGTGCACCACACGCCAAGAACCCACCGTAACAGACCGTTTCATTGACTAACCCCTCACATAAACCAGAACGCGGGTTATATATCAACTCTTCCGGAACCTAGTATAGTAGAGACAATTAAAACGAAATTTTGAACTATAAAAAACGAAACGAAATAAGATCTAGGTTTTAATCAGATTGCGGTCGGTGTGTCCAGTTATTCTGGTTTGCGTATGTGGATCTTACGAAGTTCAGGATTTCTCAATTGAAACGCTCATCTACAACTTCCTGAAACGAATTTCATTTTCGACTTACCTCAAAAGAACTTGTTAATTTTAACGAATAGAGAAGTGGAACAAATGTTATAGCTGCTATAACAATGGCAAATATCATGCCAATCAAATAAACACAATAACCAGTTCCTTCCACGTACATTTCAGCTGGTGTACCAAGAATCAAAATGGCTGACATAAATGAAACTAAAATGGACACGGACACAGGAATGATCCCCAAACTTCGACTGGCCATCAGGAATTCTCCCATTGAGGCATTTCTTCTAGCCTGCACAGCATAATAGATACCAATAACCGCCGAGACTAAAAGCAGCAAACTAAATAAGACATAGTCCCAGGCTTCAAAGCTTCTCACATCCGACATCTTTTACTGATTTTAAAGTCAAGCTTACAATCAACAAATACAACAGACTTTGTTAGCTAAAAGCTATTGTCAGAAGTCAACAAGTTCCCCTTTATTCCACAGGATACACCAAGATTGGTCGACGTTGCTGTGCTTAAATAAAATCTCCGTCGACCTGTTTAAATCGTCAAATGTAAGCAAGTATATATCCTAATAAAAGTGACATCTAGTAGATCGTATATACATACTACTTAAGACGAAGCCACAATATGGAGTGGTCTTTCCCATATGTGGGACCGTTTCTGAAGTGGTGTACAAACAAATAATATAAAATATTGTATACATCTCGTGATGATATATGTTACACTACACTCAATTTATATATATATACACCCAATTTACATAAATATCCCTGTTCACACTATGATAAAGATTTTGCGGTGGGTCAGGGTCTCGATCAACACAACAAAATAATTATGTTACGTGAATTTGTAGCTTTTATCTAAGCCGATGAAAACAATAACCTTTATTTGGATAAGATAATAAACATTTTAAAGTGACTATTGTGTTTTTAAAATGAAATATGGTTTAATTACTTATTTTTCCGAAGCAACCGGGTTAATAAAGGTTGGCATACACCACGCTTTGAGGAAAAGTTTTCTGCGGACACCGGCGCTGCGACCTACTCTTATTTCAAATTCAAACTGCCAAGGGTTCTTTAACAGTGATTTTCCGACGTGGTTTCCCCTTGTCAGTAGTGGAGAACGAATGAACTGACAAGGACAACTGTCTAGTCGTTCAGATGGGACGCAAACCCGAGGCCCCGCGTATAAATTGGCATGCACGTAAAAGATCCCTTGGCAGTTGGAATTCGATATAAGAGTAGGCCATCCGCCACAGATCCGCTGTTCGGGCAAAATTTCCCACAGGTTGGTTTGCTCTTGTCAGAAACAGTGTCTAGTCGTGTACTCATTGGCATGAACATAAAAAGTTATAAAAGCTGAAATTCGATGAAAAGTATGAGGACACACCACCGTTAGGGAAAAATAGCCCTCATAGTACACTGCATGCACGTGATAATTAGCCCGGTTAGTGAAAGTTAACATTTAGTAGGGAAATATAATGATAATGGTTACATGACTGCCTCCGATCCTATAGAACTGTTCATAATGGACTCACATCGTCTGGACATGACGCTAAGAGATGTATCAGACGACCTCTCTTGTCACGTGACCATCAGGCTTGCACGACGAACACGGTGTCGACCGAGCACGTCATTATTGGAACATGACGTCAAGACGAAAAAGGTCACTATTCGAATGAGAGTCTATATCGTAGAGCAGGTTCCATTTCGACGGCGGCTTTATGATGATATGGGGTTGCTTTTCATATCACTGTAAGCCTCCACTGCCAACGGTAATAAAGAGAGATCATATCCAGAGGTGTACATGCCCACCTTTCTCAAGAATCCAAGCTTTCTGGATGACAACGCTAGACTACGCCAGCCATGTGCGTGCTGATTTTTGATATTCGGCACCAAGATGGCGTTGCTACGCTACTTTCACCAGCAAAAACACCTGATCTAAATACAATTGAGCATATCTTGAACTCTCTCGGCTATTTGGACCAGGCACTATACACAAGGGATGGAACAGATTTACGCAATGAAATGAAACGGGGTTTAACGTCCTACTGGGCTAATGAAGACGACAGATTTACGCAGGCTCAGATCCAGGCTGGCAGAGGCTACACTACATAGATCGAAGAGTTGCCCAATTACTTTGGCCCTCTAGCATTGATCAAGGGCCCTTAAAGATTCATGGGTCCCTACGACATACGAGTGGGCTCAATAACATTAAAGTGGGGCTCCTGCAAGTAGTGTGGACCCAATTACTTTCAGTTCGGGGCCCTCGAGAATTAATTAAGGCCCCTTCGCATACGAAGTCAGGCCTCAATTGTATTATAACGTGACGCCACTGACTTCGATTAAGGACCCACTATTAACGTGGGGTTCCTTTGGGTTTGATGAATCGTCCACATGGTGGGCCCTCAAGGGTAGTGTGGGCCCAATTACTTTCACGTATATGAGGGCCACGTAGTCAATGTCAAAGGCCCCCTCATATACCGATTAACGTGGGGTTCCTTTGGTTTTGATGAATCATCCCACATGGTGGACCCTTAAGGGTAGTGTGGGCCCAATTATTTTCACCTATATGAGGGCCCCGTAGTCAATGTCAAAGGGCCTCTCATATACCGATTTGGGCCACAGCTCCACGCCAGATTCAGTACCTAGGTTTTAAGGACAGCATTATCTCTTTGTCACCAGGTGGGCCGCTACTTAAGAGAAACCTTTTCAGCAGCCATGGGAAGCACAATATTGTTTCTACGTGCGATTTTAAATCCAGTAATTGTAGTCCATATTATGTTATTTTGTGTTTACAAATGGACGTACCGGAAAACATGAAGAATTCAGGGGAAAATCTCGCTGTGCAATTTATAGTACCAAAGGGGGGATCACGGTGGCTAAGTGGGTAAGACGCTCGCTCGCGTCGGGTGTTCGATCCCTGCATTGGCCGAGAAAGTTCATCCAGATTTTCCGCCGTGGTCCCCCTTGTCAGTTATGCAGAACGGAGGGCCTGGCAAGGACATCTGTCTAGTCGTTCGGATGGGACGAAAAACCGAGGTCCCGTGTACACATTGGCGTGCACGTAAAAGATCCCTTCATAGTTGGAATTCGATATAATAGTAGGCCGTAGTGCCGCTGTCAGGGCAAAATTTCCCTCATAGTACACTGTATGGCGTATGCCTGTCTTCATTAGCCCAGTTCGGACCAAAACAGTAGGACGTTAAACCCCATTCCTTTTTTATAGTATCAAAATAATCACGAACAACTGAACCTATTGGACCTTTTGACAGTATTCGAAACTGCCGATCACCAACGGACGCTATTAATAGATCATGCAGAATTGAAACCTGCGTGTACTTGCTATACTGTCGGGGATCACGTGGCTAAGTGGGTAAGACGCTGGCTCGCTAGCCTGGAGGTCGGGTGTTCGATCCCTGCATTTGCTGAGAAAATTCATCCAGATTTTCCGGTGTGGTTTCCCCTTGTCAATGATGCAGGATCAAGGGCCTGACAAGGACAGCTGTCTAGACGTTCGGATGGGACGGAAAACCGAGGTCCCGTGTACACATTGGCGTGCACGTAAAAGATCCCTTGGCAGTTGGAATTCGATATAAGAGTAGGCCGTAGCGCCGCTGCCCGGGCAAACTTTCCCTCATAGCACACTGTATGGCGTATGCCCGTCTTCATTAGCCCAGGTTAGGAGCAGAACACTGTCTTAATTTAGCTAATATTATCGATAAACATGATATGGATTACCAGCTTGTCTCTTCTTTCAAGCCCCGAGAGATTACCAAGGCTCTGAGTTATGTAACTGATTGTTCCCACGATATTAAAAATTGGATGACTTCATGGTGAGAAAACTGAAGGTATATTATTTCGAACTAAAAGACGCCCCCAGAAGATGTCTCAAGCTAGTGTTGTGAAGGCCCATGGTCTTTCTCTAGGCCCATGTTTGTCACTTAGAGTTAGAATACATGGTGGCAAGCTGTATCGGGCCTTTTATTTTCATTTTCTGCGCACCAGAGATCTCATACGGTTGAGAGAGAGAGAGAGAGAGAGAGAGAAATGGGGTTTAACGTCCACTCGACACAAACTAGGTCATTTCGGGACTAACATATGGTTTAATTCTATTTACATAATTCGCTTGCGCGTAGGGGTCTTTAGCAGTGGGAGGAAACCGGAGGACACGTAGAAAACCCACGAGGTTGGACAGGCGACCCTACTCCTTGCCACGTACAACCGGGGATTCGAAACCACGCCAGTCGACTCAATGACAGACTGTATGATACAGCGCGCGCACGCTAACCATTCAGCCATCCAACCCCCCTTCATACGGTTGAAGTTATAGGCGTATGGAGGTGTGGCAATCCTGTTGTTCTTATAAATTTATTAAAGGTACAATATTCCCGGCCAAAAGTTTAACTACAGACTTAAGTTTATCTATATTAGAAAGTTGTCTCAGCGAAAAGCACACAAGTTAAAAATATTAAAATGAATGAAACCTAGCGTCTGTCATTATTTTATGCAAATTCTTGGGGACATTTTTTTTAATTTCAGAAATACAACTATAGGTCTTAAATGGCACATCAATTCATTGTTAAACATACATTATGCAAGAGCTAAATCTGCCTATTGCAGGTCTTTCTTTAGGCCTGAAATGTTATCTAAATTATTAATTAGACATTAATTAACTTATCCAGACCATAATCAATTCTCGATGTCATCGCTAGCCTGCGATGTTTATTGGATTAGGTTCCGATTTGCTGTTCGATTTCCATTCATGATTTAATCATCAATCGCTAAAATCTCGGTTCAGAGTAGATCACGTTGACTGACATTTTCAGCAAATTCCCTTTACATAATCTAGTTTTTAACTATTATAGTGAAAACTGTTAGCTCTTTATCTAATCTCCCATAATGTATCTTTAAGTAAGATTACATATATATTTCAATTTAACCATACGAAACTTGTTCATATGGGCTACATTTATTGATAATATTTACAGCCTGTCTCTGCTTCCAAGCTAGGGGAGATTACCAAGGCCCTGAATTATGTGACTTATTGTTCCCATGATGTTAAGAAAGGGCTACATTTATTGACAATATTTACCTCATATGAACTTGTCACCTTTAGTGGAAAGAAAAGAGGAACAAAAATCAGAGCCGCAAAGAGACATCCAGAACTTCCAATAACTCTCATATAAAACTGGGTTCCTTCCACATACATTTCTGCTGGTGTTCCCAGAATCAAGATGGCCGACATGAAAGAAACTAGAATCGAGATAGCAACAGGCACAACACCCATACTTCTATTGGCTTGAAGAAATTCTTTTGTTGTTTTTTGTCCAAATGCAAAGAATATTCCTATTGCTGCCGATACAGACAACATCAACGCAAATACCACGTAGTCCCATGTTCCAAAGCGCAAGACGTTATCCTCCATGTTGAATTTTGTTGTCAGGTTATAGAATGTAGCGAAATGGGTACAATTCTTTGGCAAAACTATTCTGTATTTATAGCAAGGATATCTACACCAGGATATGATAAATTATTGTACGAGACAATCATATTTATTGGTCATTCAAGAAATTTATCTATAACCAAAATATAGGTTGAGTATAAGATAACATTGAAATATGATCGGACAATTCAAATACTGTGGTATCTACTTTGAGTATTAGACGAAATCTTCTAA